GCCAAGATAAATAATTTCTTCACTGGTTAGACAATTAATTTTTAGGTTTTATAAACCCTTGTTCAACTGGAAAACCTTTATCAAACGCTTATGGAACACCAATTTCATGCAACTACCTTATACAGCCAAATGGCGGGTGTCCTGAAGATTACTGGTGTCATACTGGAGCGACATTTACGACAACTTCTTGTTGCCCAATTATTGAAAGAGGTAAAAGCTGTTAACTATGAGTCTCTAAGACATTAATTTTAAGTTTTGTATCTGAGTTCAACTTTTAAAGCCGGTTTTTTTGAAGCTTGAAATGTTAAGTGTTATCATAAGATGCTTTGTTCTTGTGACAATGGCAAGCATGGGCTTAACGTCCAGAAAGAATCTACTAGCTTTAATTTTTCAAGTTCCACGTTGCGAACAACCGCGTGTTGTCGGCGAAGGTAATGAACTTGTTGCTCGTTGGTACTATGATGGAGCTTCAAAGCAATGCAAGCGATTCCTGTACAAAGGACTTATGGGAAATCCCAATAATTTTATTACGAAAACACAATGTGTAGAAGCCTGTGAAAGTGGTCGGTCTGATCTGCGATTATTGTTGAATTTGTTTTCACTGTTGAAAAGTTCTAGTAACAGAGAATTTTTAACTGTTTTTGTAACGCATTTTTTATTGAAAGAAAGAGTTTTTTAGAGCAAATTATTGACGTTCACAACCCTTGTAAATATGGTACTCCTGCTCGAGATCCAGACCAGAAGATCATTAGCTGTGGTCCCACAGACACAACGCAGTGTCCAAAAGGATATTATTGTCATATTGGAGAAACAACTGTGGATACAGCTTGTTGCGAAGGATCTGGATGTCAGTGATTAATCAACAATTAAAATTTCTTTATTCTTTGATAAACGTTGATAACTTTTAATGACTTTTCAGTGTCTGATCCTTGCTTATTGTCGCTGAATGTTGGCCAAGGAAAAGCTTTGATTAAACGTTTTTACTACAATACTTTAGCGAAGCAGTGTGCTGAATTCGTCTACAAGGGTGTAAGGGGAAACGAAAATAACTTCCTCACAATTGAGGAATGTCAAAAAAAATGTTTAAGTTCGTTATTTTTTATTTTACTTTGAATTATTAAATTTCTTCGCAAAATTCAACTTTCAAAAACAACCGGTTTGTTAGCAGTTACAGGAAATACGATTATGTGACGACAGTTTTTTTTTCACGATTTTTTAAAAATTTAAAATTTAATTAAAAGATTAAAATTGCTATTTCCTGGTAGTTGTTGTTTGTTTAAAAAATTTGTAAATTCAATAGCGTAAATAAATGAACAAATAGTAAACAGAGTTATAGTAGAAGTGGTTTGCAAAGGCGACTGTTTTTTCTCCTTTTTTTTTCTCTTTTGAAGCTTAAGTCTAACATATGCCGATGGCATTGTGCGTTTTATTTGCACAGTTTTTGTAGAGCATGTAATACTTCAAGGGTTTTTGACTTTTAAACAATTTTGAAGAGAAAAAATATAGTATTTAAAATCAACCTCTTCTTTTATGTTTAGAGTGGACAAGCCCGTGTCCTACACTATTTGATTATGCTGAAAGAAAAGAGTGTTCCGCAGAAAACAGAAAATGTGATAACGGACAATGGTGTCATATCGGATCTTCCAGTCATACAACAACATGCTGTCCTGGAGGTTTCCGCTTGTCACTTTTAATTAACATAAACAACTTATGTAACCGATTCTAATGATGCAACAATATTTTCAGCTATACAGAATCCGTGCAGCCAGTCGTTACAGGTTGGTGATGGGAATGAAAATCTGACACGTTGGTATGCTGATCCAAGTGATCGTTCATGTACCAGGCAATGTAAATCCTTCATTTACAAGGGCACTAAAGGAAACCAAAACAATTTCCTCACAAAAGCGGAATGTGAATCTGTTTGCAAGCGTAAGTAAATTTTGGATATCAAAATGGTGAACTATTTGTGCATTTAACCAAACATTTGTGCTGCACATTGTTCAGTCAATCTCCATTAAATTTTTAGCCCAGTGCATAAATCCTTGTGGAGGTAATAATACTATGCTACTTGAACCGACTGGAATTCCTCGACAGTGTGGCCCAACGTGGCCGTGTCCAAACACGCACTGGTGTCACGTTGGTGGTAATGTTGATACCACCGTTTGCTGCTCAGGATGTTAGCTTTACAGCTTATTATGTACCTTTGATAAAGCTTCTTGTAACAAATTTTGAAGGTTAAATGAAAAGATTTTTTTTGCGAACTACAATTAAAAAAACCTCCAATGATTTTGTTCATCTGAAGTTTTTGTTTACCTGTATTAAATTTTTTATTTATCTGTTTTGAAACTTTTTTAAAACTAATACTGAAAATGAAAGAATTTTAGCCGCTAATCCTTGTAATCTCCCGATGGAAATTGGTAAAGGTGACCACCGTTTGACCAGATGGCGGTTTAGCATTAACGAAAATAAATGTGTATCGTTCATCTACAGAGGACTAGGTGGTAACCAGGTGGACATTAAATCTATGCTTTTTATCTAGTAAATCTGAAAGAGAAAAACTAAACTTTTTTGAAAATCAAAATAAGCTTATAAGAATTAATCTGAAACAACTCGTAGAACATGTTCTTAACGGCTGATGACTGTCGTAATGTTTGTCCATCATATGTGAATCCTTGTGGGTCTGGAAAACCCTTAATGGTCGGAAGCAAACCCAAAGTTTGCAGCCCGAATGAACGTTGTCCTTCTACACATTTCTGCCACATTGGTACAGATGACATGGACAATGTCTGTTGCTCAAAAAGTAAAGCTTTTTTTGCTTCATTTGCAAGTCATTGATGGTACTGCCGTAAGGCTTCGGAAAGTAGAAGCTAATTATATACAGCAAATGATAATAATTTTTT